AAAAAAAAAAGTCAAATTTTTAGATTTGGCAACTGCTCTCAAGAAATCCTAGTGTCTCTTTAACTCGCTTTTCATTTGTTATTCTGCACGATGACAATCGTGATAAGAGCAATTAAAAGGAGAATGCGAATGAGCTGTACTCAGTGAGAATATATCATTTTGAATTCGTATAAAATTTCAATATATCATTAAATTTTTGACAAAATTGTAAAGAAATTCTGTAGTATACTATAGAATTCACGTGGTAGAAAAGGGATAAACATATGTCGAAAACTACAGTTTCTAGAAGAGATAGGCTGCTGCCTCATGTCAAATAAAACGATGATCAGCAGGCCTGAATGGGCCATTCAATACGTTCTTGAACCGCAACTCTTTCGCATGTATGTTAATTATATAATTTATCTTACAAAATCATTTTACAAATTTATTTTATATTTTATATTACATTCTTGCACAATGAATGCCAGATCATTGTGCTCGCTTGACTGCAATAAATATCTGTACTGTTTTAACATTAAATTCAACCTCTTTAATAAAGGTTTCGTTCTGAAAAAAACTTCTCTCAATTAAATGATTGGAATGAAATAGTTATTCAGATGATTAAACTTTAATTTTGATGCCTTATGTAATTATCGACAAAATTCCATTATTTTCATTTTAAAATAATCTGAAAAATAAAAAATAATTCTTTCTACTTTCAATAAATGTGCACTTTAAAATAGTGCAACTTTATCTCGAACATTTTCTTCATAAAAACAAAAATACAGCAAATATATTTTCATTTAAAAGCCACATGTATAAAATTCGAGACAACATTTTAAGAAATATTAATTTCTTTTTAACATTGTTTTAATTATTTTTTATTCAGAATAATATGTAGAAAAAATTCAGCCGTAGAAAAAAAAATTATAGAGATCCATTAAAAAATAATGCACTTTTGTGAAAAATCATACTATACGATAATACGAGCTTTTATTTATTTATACGATAAATTCGCATTTATTTATTGTGATTATTATATGTACATACATATGTATGTTTGCTCGTAATAAAGTGTCACCGGACACTTCATTCAATTCAATAAATAATTTTCGATGCGGAAACGGCAACGCTGTCCAACACTGTAGTGCAATACTTGCTCAAGTTGATACGACAGGATGCGACACGAATATGGTAAAAGGATTAGAAAGGCCCTCAAAACCTGGGAAACGAAAAAGCATTGGATGTCCTGTCTATCTTATTCTTGGTCAATGGTAATATACCATTTACAACTAGCATTATTGCTTGAACACAATTTAACATTTATTAAAAACGCACTAAAAAAATTATATTTATACGTTTATCCATTTATCTATCTATCTGTCGAATTAAGCGTTCAGTTAAATTTTATATAAAAATAAAGCATAGCAGTCTCGCATAGAATTTCATCCTTTATTTACAAATATCAGATCATCATTCGGTAACAAAATTGCATTGCACATATGCAGAATGATAATTCGAGATGATAAATTAACAATCTAGACAAAACAACAATACTGATACAATATGCAACAATATCGATACGATGTTTCATTAATTAATGCAATATAGCATGTACTCCACTTTATACGTGGAACAGTATTTTTTATCTATATATCTGCATATATAAGCATAATTTAAACATTACGCTCGTAAAGAAAACAACACATCAACAAAAAATATAAGATCTATCACATACATGAGTTAATGAATATGTAACACATAGCAAGTATGATTTGTTGAGTTAGGCCGAACATTTTGGAACTCAGTCACGAGTGTGGTGCGTATATTATGTATATTATGTATAGCTATAAATGTTTCAGATAGTTTATAAGTCTATAATACTTTAAAATAACAATTGCTGTACAATAAGAGTATTGAGATAGAGCATGTAATATTCTTGCAGCATGTAATGTTCTTGCTTCAACTCGTACTATTTTTATATTTCATAGGTCGCTCCATTCGATTTACATATGCATAGGCACTATTCATCGACAAAGAAGCATTCCGACGAGGATCTAGAAAATATTGTGATAATTTTTTTTTTTTTTTTTTGAATACATGGATTTTTATTTATGCATGATTGCTGCCGATGATAATATTAATCGCTGAACGTTAACAGAGGAGAAATGAATTTGTGGTGGGCATGATTCATATGGTTCATGTAAATGTAGCTTGTATGTAGCGTGACTCAAGTTCGTCTTGTTCGGCGGATGCAATAAGAATGCTTATTAAAAATAAGTAGATCATATCGATGCGATTTTTTGCTTGATATCAAAAATTCGTGTATGTATGAAAAGATAATTATCGCAAAATTTCCATCGTATCGTGATATCTTCTTCTGTTTCTTTTTTGTTTGCTCTATTCGCTTTATGTTCTCTTATTAATCGCTTTACTGATAAACTTGTATGATGCGTCGCATCGTACAAATATGCCGAAAAATATAAAAGATTAAAATTTATGATTGTTGCGTCAATAATGCTGAAACTTATTTTTTTACTTTACTTATTTGTAATCAACATATTTTACGAGTATATGTCAATATAATGTTAATGCAATTAAAATAAAAATAATTTAAGTGTTTTAAGGTAAAATAAGTACATATACATATAGTCGCGTCGGAAAGTAAGTTAACGATCAGCATCGTGCATAAAAATTGGAGAAATGAACGAGATAATATGTTTGATGAGTTGATTTTTGAAAATGTATATTTAGTAGATTAATACAATGAACGAATGGTCATAGAAAAATATAATATTATGAGGAAAGGAGAAACAAAATATGCAATGACTGACTACAATGATAGGGTCGGAAAGTAAGTTAACGCATCTTCTTACTTTTTCTAATATTTTACAATAAATTATATCTAAATATTTTTTATGACAACCTTTTATGGCTATAATGTCTCGTAGACGGTTATATAACGGATAATTTAAAAAAAAATGTGGCCGTAAACAAAAAAACTAATAAAACAATTATTATTAACGCATTATACAAGGAATGGACCAATATTAGTCCAGATATAATTAAAAAATTAATTCAGAGCATACCAAACCGTCTACGAGACGTTATAGCTGCAAAAAGTTGTCATACAAAATATTGAGATATAATTTATTGTAAAATACTATATAGAAAAAATAAGATGCGTTAACTTACTTTCCGACCCTATCATTGTAATCAATCATTGCATATTTTGTTTCTCCTTTCCTTAATTGTAAAATATTATGATATTTGTCTATGACCATTTGTTCATTGTATTAATCTATTAAATATACATTTTAAAGAATCAATTCATCAAACATATTATCTTACTCATTTCTTTAATTTTTATGCACGACGCTGATCGTTAACTTACTTTTCGACGCGACTGTATCTAACCAATTGTTTGGAAGTCAGAAAAACTGTAAATTCTACTAAAAAGTATAATACATTGGAACATTGAGGAAACTGAAAGACGTATATGTTAAATTCTAAAATCAGAAGAACCAGTGTTCATGATCATGTTCGATTACATACATCATGACCAACGACCGACGCGTTTAAGCGATTAAAATTTTGTGGGATTTTCATTTTTTCCCAAAATTTTGAAATAACAACACATAATTATATAATTTAATCAATCCATACCGTTTCGGAGATATGTGATTATGTTTTTCTAATTTTCAAATATTCCTTACTTCTGTATAAAAAAACTTGAAATAAAATATTTTTTTATATACATATGTTAATGCGTATGTATTTTAGGCTGTATTATGATAAAACCTAACAATCAGAATGAAACAGAATTTTGAGAGAGTAAAGAGAACAACCCCAAATATAAAATTTTAGTTTGATTAGTTTCCGAGACATCAATAATACATTGAATTATATCTATACAAAAGTGTATCTTCACTCTCCTGAGTATCTCCTGGGCATTTCATTTAATCCGATATTAAGACTAGTACAATATGATCCAACCATTATTGTATTGGGATTGGTTTAAGTCATCAATTTTAATTCAGCCGCCATTAGACGGTTGACTAGTAATTGCCTGTGAAATCTGATGTCGATCTATAAAATGTCGTCGATGTCAGATTTCAATTAAGGCATAATAAGATATTACGTTATTAGCTACTCGTTACTTGACGGTGATGACTACTAACAGACGATGCTGGCTAAAAGAACGAAGACAGTTGTAGTTTACAGACACAATTCAATATATTGCACCTAAAATTTTTTTATTAATATTTCAGAAACTAACTTCTTCCCACCCTCTCAAAATTTATTCGCTACGTCTGTATTTTATTTATTCTATGAATTTGCGTCATATGCTTCACAGTTTATTTAGTAACGAAAAACTGACTCGTCGTTAGTGGTACAAATAAGTATGTGTACTACTGGTGCACGTGAAACTAAACCAATCGTATGATCTACTGGTTTTATGTTATGTTACACTGATTACTGTCAATACGTAGCATAAATATTTGTATATTTATCGTTAGCTCGTAAATATAGGGCGGCCTGATTATAATAACTATAAATGTTGTCGAAAAAAAGATCAACTTTCAAAATCGTGACGAGCAATATAAATTTCATTTGCGAATATTCGCTTTATATTCTGATTTATTAAAAAGTTCGTATGTTATATGTGTCTACAAAAAACAAAAAACAAACAAACAAAAAAAAATAGGTATATAATCAATATAAGATGTATCATTTTTTAAGAAATCAAGTGTTTCTAAAGTTCCATTTTTTTTTTTAATGTATTTTCGTTAACTTTAATATTCATGTCGCCTTTATAAATGCGCGCGTTACCTCTATTGGTCTCGTGTATAGCATATATCGTTCTTATACGGCAACAAAAATGACATTTCTATTCGTATACAGTTTGCGATCATTTCGAGCGCCCTATTCTCGAAATTTCGATTCGACGAAAAAATTCCTATTCTTTAAGCGCGTTTCACGTAGGCCTGAAATAAATATTTTTCTTTTTTTGTTTTTTCTTTTCTTGTTTATGTCACTTATAATTAGGCGAATGAAATACAATGACCATGAATAAAGTACAGACGACAGTTAGTTTGATGCGTACACACACTGATATATAGACGATACTTTTTTCTTTTGCACCAACTGGTTACATTCATTTAATTTTTTTCCCCTTTTGTTCATTTTATTCTCTTCGTCTGCCCTGTTTCGACGAGGACGAACACAGGTTGGACGTTGTATTTAACTTTATCATTAATTTTTCATTTTTTTCTTTTTTTCATTTTTTTTTTTTATTTTTATATTACGCCTTAAGAAATATTTAATCGAACAACATGAAATTCTCGCATGGTTATGCGAGTTCATCAATATATATGTATATAAAATTCGAATATACTCGGCGGACCGAAAAAATGAACGAGGTGAACTTTCAACAGCATTACTAGACTCCAACGTGTCGCATAAACTATACAAAAATGAACGTTCGAAGTTGGGAGAAACGAAATATTTTGGACGGTACGACGAAGCATTTCAACAAAATCTTATCTTTTTTTATCACGGATTCTTGCCACAAAATTTTTGTGTTCCGCTCAAATTCAAATCGCTCTTAACTGTTCATTTATTAAAAAGTGAACTGTGAACTGACGTATCGTGTTGTGTGCCTATTTTAGTTTGAAGCGTTGATTCGAGAGGCTTTCGCGTAAGGCCTCCGGGAAGTTTTAAGTTTCTTTCTTCTTCTTCTTCTTTTCTTCTTCTTCCTTTTTTTAAAAGTTCCTTTTTATGTATTTTTGTCGCATTACAAGGCGCTATGTATTCTTTTTAATATTGAGATTTTGGTAAAAAAAAATCTCTGTATCCTGGTGATAATTGGCTGAAAGCTTGTCCATTTACATCATTTGTTCTAGCTCATCACTAGTAGTATTAATAATAGAAAGACATGTGGCCCTATAACATGTTCGAAAGCTGTATTTAAAAGTGTTGTCTGTATTTTATTTTTACTATGTGTAGCATATTGTCTTTCTAGCAGATTTAGTCTGTGCTATTTTTTTTAAGTTTAATTTGGACGAATAAGTTATGTAATTACAGCATACGTTCTGAGTATCTTTGGTGGATATTTACTTTTACAATGTCAGACATAAACCTGAAAAATAGATTTTTACATTTATAAAAATAGGCATTTACAATTATGAACAAAGACAAAAAAATTTTTTTTTAAATCTTTGTAAGAATCTTTAGAAGTGTATCTTATTGGAAACAATCAGAATAAAAGATGTAATTGAACATCAGAATAATTATCATGCTAAAATCAATTACCAGTGACTAACGATTATTTGAGTCGTTGTGTAACATTGGCTAATGCAACAGCAAATGCTTGTAAAGCGCTGAAAGGATATTGAAAATCCAATGTGTAGGCATTCCCATCTATTCTTCCAAATTGCATAACCTAATATAATATTAAAACAAATACATTATTTAATCATGTGGGACAAAATGCAGTAAATATTGGATAACTGCCCGAAAATCAGGAGCCACAACGAATACTTATTCAATAGTAATACTACAATGCTGGTATCCGAACGTAGAATAGGACATCACAAGTGAAAGAAAAAGAAGTTCGGAAATGGTAGCGATGACCACCAGACATTTACGGAAATATGATATTTGCCTCGGGCAAATTATCTATTATTTACTAGTATTAAAATTTACTATTTTCATACCTGCCGGCCTTTGAATTCTATTTGAAAGTTTTTAGCACTTTCCTGGGTTACTCTGCCACCAAAGTCAAGCTGATATACCTGGCTAGATTCGTTCCACATAGGTGCTTTATTATGCATCACAAGTTCCCTTCTCACTGCTTCTGATTTGTGACTAGATATCCCTGCTCCTTTCTGCTTCAACTATATATGTAATTGGGACAGGATTAATGTTTATAATGATTAGATTTAAATGCAAAATGAGAGATAATTGGTATTATGTAATATATTCTAAATCTTTTAAATGATATTTTTATAGAATTTATGGTTAAATTCTAATATGTTCCGTCAACTAATGCTATTACTAAATTATATTATAATCGTAACATATATTATAATCATAACATTATTAAACAATATTATAATTATAAATCATAGATATTTAAGTTTTTCCTGTTGAAGAAAGAATTATATATATATAAATAAAACAATATGTATATACTATACATATACGTACTATATGAAGCTATATACTATATATACATATATATAAACTAAATATGTTGAGTTAAAAATTGCCTTGATACATGTGTACTTGAGTTTTAAACAAAATCTCAAATCAAAAAATTTTATTTTACATTTTTGATTTATTTTGTTATAAGGAATCACTGGTTATACCACTGTTACTAAAACCCTATGTATAAAACAATTATTATTTCAAATTATAGTCTGTACAATTATATTTTTAGTTTTAGTTATTATTAGTTATATATGCATGTAGTTTAAAAAAAATACAAAATATAGATGATAAAACTGACTATACGTATAATAGTACAGATTGTAATTTAAAATAATAATTAAAGAGAATTAATGAAGAAACGACGACTGGATCAAGTTGAAGCCAACATTGACCAGTTAATATTATATCTACCTTCTTTGTTTACCTTTTGTCTTAATTGTGCTTTCTGGAAAGTCTCAAGATTCCTATAGTTTGTTGATGAATCATCTTGTAAAAGTCCTTCCTCGTCTGAACTTTCGCCTCGACTTTTTCGTGTTTTTCTACTTAATAAAGGACTCGATAAAAGTCTTCTTCTAATTGGCGAAGCGGATGCCGGCCTTTTACCTTTCTTCGAAGGTGCTGGACTACTGGGAGAACTTCTGGGTAATCTAAGAAAAATGTTAATTGTTAATAAAAGATTTTTTTTGTTGAAAATTACAAGAATCTCTTAATATATTTTGCCTGGTAGATGGACGAGGTGATGGTGGTGGCAAAGAATGACTTTCATCAAAATCTCGAAGTCGAGCTGCAAGACCATCTAAGGATGATGCCAATGAACCACTTGGACTAGATCCTCTGAAATAGGATCTTAGGAATTAGGATCTTAGACTAGATCCTTTGAATTAGGATCTTAGGAATATTATTAATATGAAAAATATATAAATACATAAAATTATTATTAATGTGAAAAATATATAAATACATAAAATAATAGTGATAGATAAAATAATAAACATACTAACAACATACTAAACAATAATAATAATATTTTCATAAAGAATGAAATTTAGATAAAACCTGAAAAAAAAATGAAATTCAGATAAACTAACGAAATGATACTATTATTAGCTTACCTAAGAGGAGAATTACAAGTTTTCAGTCGAGTAGATTTAATTTGAGCAGAATTAATCACACTGGAGGCTGTAATGTGTATTGAACATTCACTAGGCATCGCGTCTGGCGATTTCTCCAAAGATTCATTACTTTTGTCTTCGATAGCCTCAAGATTCATAGTTCCTGATGCTTCTTCAGCGTGTTCAGGCAACTTTGGTGGCAAAGCTATTTGTTCATTAGCCGGAAATATATCACTAGAGTCTAAACTTTTGGATTTGCCACAATTACGAAGCCTTGGTGACTTTGAAGATTGCTGCCCAACCTCTTGCTGAGTTTTATTTTTTTTTCTTCTCTTCGTTTTCCTCGATACCAAGACCAATCGCTTGTTAGGTGCTTCTTTTCTAAGCATTTTTAAAGCAATATCACAAGGAGCTAGTTGTGCATCCACCATATCTAAATAACCAACACTGCAACTTCTGACTATACTATCATTGACGCAGAGTGGGCCGATACTGACAACCGTTTGCGTTCTATGAACTCCTCGCGACTGCTCGAATGCTTCGGCTTCGCCGCGACTTTCTTCATCGATGAAGCGCATTTCATCGATCCGACTAGTTGTAGAACTGCAACTGCTCGATTGACTAGCGTTCATTTTACTGCACAATTCTGAGTGAGATTTTACGGAATCTTTTAGTTTTGTAGTACAACATGAGCAAGTTTGTCCGATACATTGATCGATGTTTTCTGGAAATTGATAAGAACAGGCTGGTGAATGATTGTTGGACAAGTGTATACTATTTTTACTAAAAAGACCATTATTCGTTCCGTGTTGATTGTTCAAGTTCATCTGACAAGATGTTTGACTAATATTCGTCGCACTATTGACATTATGATTATTTTTACACTGAATTCCATTCAAATTACTCGAACATGCGATATTGTGTATGCCATTGAGAAATATCGTCTGCGACTGAGGAGGACAGCTATTGTTTATGTTCAAATTGTTAACGATGGCACCTCCTTGAGAACAACCAAGACTGCTCGATGCTTCTGTATTTGAGGCTTGTCCATTGTGTATCGGCATAGGGATGATAGTCGATGAACAAGACGTCAGAACAGCTTTATCGTCCTGAGAAATTTGATTAAATTTGTTATTCTCGAATTCCTTCTTCGATACGAGTCCCGGTTGATCTGCAAGAGCGGTTTTCATTCTTTGAATGTTATTCGTGTAATCGGTTCCCGTGTTCGATGTCGCGATTATAGTTTGTGTGGGAGCAACCGCATTTTTTGGAGATTGAAGAGCCGGTACATCACAACATCTTGGTGGATTATGCCTCAGTGGAGTTCGATAAGTATTTGTTGGAGCGGTTCTTAAGTTCTCATATAGATTACCGATTTCTTGTAGATCCACATAAGGTAATTCGTTTTCGAAATTTTCAACTCTGGACAAAGCGGTTGATAAGGGCTCGCTGGCCATAAATTGATTGGAAATTTGAGATTTCGGGCGATTAGAATTGAGTCGCGCATTACGGGGTGTCATTGGTGCAATCGGAGGAGGTTGCGCTTCGGACGTACTTCTCGAGGTAGCTTGAAATTCTTGGAACGATTCTTCCTCATCTTCGGAGAATAAGTTAGGATTAAATGTTGGATCTGGGCCTGATTAAGAAAATCGATCGTTAAGTCTCGTGATCAACACACTTTACTTTGTTCGTGATTGCAGAGATAATATACATAGTGCATATACAATATATGTACGTACCTGCAGGTACATCGTCTCGTAACTCTGTCATTACTAAAGTCATTTGTCGTGGTTGTAAATGTAGTAATGACGTTCGATAAGTAACCTGACCCAAATTGGCGGGCACCGAATCTGCCAGTCCGTGAAACTTGAATTTCGTGCCCCAGATATTGGACGTTACTTCGACTAGCCTTGCATGCTGCAAATAGATACACCTTGTCACACTGGTGGTCACGCGACTACCTCGATACCTTAAGACTTAAATGGCTCGTTAAACTTTGCTACATCATGCAATTTCTTATTGCTCGAATTTAAGTGCATCGCGCCGCGTTTCGTTGTGATTTCTTAAATTATTCTTAACGACGTTCTCACAAATTTCAAGAAATATTACAATGTTATACTTTACCTCAGGCAAGGTATCCACGTAAGTAAGATCGTCGGTTTCCTCGTTCGATTTTTCTTCCCTTTTTCTCCTACTTTTTCTTTTGTTTCTGGGCGATCCACATAGATCAGCTGTATCCTTTTCTGTATCGGATCCATCACTAAATGACGGGCACTGTGACGTATCTTCCACAATTTGAATGGTATCTTGACTTTGTGGATCGAATATCACGAATTCTGGTCTGATTTTACTTGTCCTTCTACCTTTTAAAAGAGGGACTAGACCACCCAGATATTCTAAATACAATGTATAACATGGTACCGGTTCTACGGCATGTCTAAGCATGGTACAATGTAATCTTCCACCGCCTGGAGGTGGGCGCGATACAAAACGCCTTAGTTCCCTTGGTTCTGGAACGGAACATCTATAAACGCGATATGATGTATTATTAAAGTGGAATGTTTTATTTACTACATACAGTTGTTGCTTTTAAATTATTATTAAATTAAAATATATGTGTATTATAAATACTCTCTTCGCTAAATTAATCGTCACATTTGTATATTTTTGGTCTGATTATTGATACGGTTTATTTTATCTAATGTCTAAATATTTTGTAAATAGTAGGTTATTATATTTATTAATCAACTAAAAAAGATTCGATCGTCATTTATTTATCAACGTAGACTGATGTCAGAACAACAATAATTTGACATTTTTAAAAGTACATCAGCTGTCATTTTAAAAGTATGTGTAGAGTTGAAATAATGAATTTGAAAGTTAAAGTCAAAAAGCTTGAAATGAATAACGGTATGTGCAATGTTGTTCTACAATTTTTGCTACAACGTTGATAAACTTAGAATACGGTGCTCGCTAGAAAGAAGAAAATGTGCATTATCGAACTGTTCAATGTAAACTCTCAAACAATTGGTAAATGTGGACGAGAGAGAAAAGATTTTTTTCAAAACTTAAAGAAAATTAAGATGTTTCCTTGAATTAAAGAGGATCATTTAGAAGTTTATTGTGTGCTGTAAATATGCTGAAATCAACCTTACATAGGATATGTAATTAATGTTAAAAACTGTTTAAATATTATTTAAGAATAAATAATATTGTTAAAAACTTTTCAAAAAAGTATTTTTTTCATTTGATCAATTTGTATTTCACGGATGAAATAGCGTTTTACCTTATCGTACTAGCAAAGAGGGCAGCTACCGAGGCTCTTAATCGTGGTGGTAATGGAAGTTGTTGAACACTAGATTCCCTTGTCAAAGACGCTCTCACAGCTAAACGAGACAACAATTGCAGCGAACCTACTCGTCTGTGAAATGTATGCATTATACACGAAATACTTTAATTTAGAAGACAATTATCAATGCTTGAATAAAAAGAAATGATGTATAATATTACCTTGACACCCATGCTGCGTGAATGCGTGCTCCGGTCGCGACAAAAAGTCGTCTGTCATTATGACCCCACGTGAGCGCTGATACTGGACTCTACGATATCGATAAGAAACATGAGTTATGCGACATATTATCGTAATGCCTCAGCTAACTTTTGAAAAAATACATACTTGTGTGTATGGAATAACAGCGGTGTACACAAGGGTGCCAGTTACTGAATAAAATTTTAAAATATTTGTATATTCGTGCAGGCTATTTTGACTGTTATCCGAATCTCTTGTCCCAGCGATTGCTAACAATTTCTTCGAATTGCTCCATTCTGCGTGCAGCGGGGCTTTTAGATTTGAACGTATCGTGATAGGCGAGACATCATCGAATGAACGTAGCATTACAATATTCCCGTCGGCCAGGCAAACCGCCAGCACGTAATTTCGATCGTCTGCAAATGTCACATTTTACTTCGTGCAACGGTTATAAATGTGCCTCCATAGTAATCTTAATGAAAAAGTAAAAACAAATTTTTAATAAAATAAAAAGGAAATTTTATTAGAATCGTTTGATAAAATATGCAAAGATAAATTGGATAATTTCAAACATGTGTATATCAAGTGAGTCATCTAAGATTAAAAGCTGAATTATTTTTGAAACGATTAATTGTATTAAAAAATGTTTTAAACAAAAGTTGAATATTTTCGAGATTGGTATTAATTGATATAATTATTGTTTTTTAATGTTGATACATAGAAGGCGTTCATTTTTTTAAATAAAATCGTATGTTTTTTATTACACTAATCGATTCGTTATCACCTATCGAGCTCGTTATCACCTATTAAAAAAGTTTTAAGCCAAAAAAATCATTAATTTAGGAGATATTTTAATACTTAAAATATTGCAGTGTGATACATTATTTAATTTGAATTTCTTTGTTCAATTTCGTTCTCCTTAGAAGTCAGATAATATTGTATTTTGTTTCTCAAACTATCTTTTATTTTACATATAAACGTTTAACAATGATTCTTTCCTTCATTTAACATTATTGTGTTGTGTTTGCATTGTACCGTCACGATGTCTTCTTAAATTATTGAAAGGAGTAATGATGTAATCGTATTGTAATATCCAAAAAAGCATTAGACCAATGTTTTCCCTCTCCGTGAATTGGACGAGATAGGCTAGTCCATTAGATTTTGTTTTCTGTTTTGTTTTCATATATTATCAACTACTGAAGACATGTGTTAACGAATTGTCGAGGAATGTAGAAATATTACTGAAATGTACTGATGTTAAGTAACATGAAATATTTTTTAAGAATTAGAAAATAAAAACGTTTAGACGACAATGGTCATTACTTTGAACACATTTTGTAATAATTGTTATGTAATAGTAAAATAAATATTTATTTTATTCTAATCAATGTAAATAATTAATAAACGTTATACACTCTTCTGTTATTACTAATGCTGTTATTATAGGTAAATTCAACATTACGAGTATTATTTCGAATTATTTTAATTATTGGACTATTCTGAACTAATGGTTTCTCGGTATAAATGGTTTAGTATTTTTTTATACAGAATGACGAGCTGAATCGATTAATATATTAAAAAATATACAATTTCGCTTAAAAAAACAAACTTGATCTTCACATGCTTTCTATGCACTAACATTAAAATATGCACTAATATTAAAATAATTAATGCCACTCTTAAAACCGTACAGCAATTTCTAAAATATTTTTTGATATAATTAATCGTTTCAAAAATATTTCAACTTCTAATCTCTAGAAAGATGACTCACAGGGTGTCTCATTTAAGTGGGATATCTAAATATCTTCGTTTTAATTTGATGAAAAAATTTCTGAGGATAAAGTTGAGCTGCAATTCCGAAAAATGTTGATAGACGTAAACATTTTCAGGAAATGGAGGGGACAGGGAGAAGACTCCAAATATAAAGTTTCGAGTGTTTATTAATTTCCGAAATATTAATTAAAAATGGAAATTTTGGTATGCAACTATTGAGATATTAATTAAAAGCTTTTGGTATACAACTATATGATTTTTATAGCAAGGTTCATCGCATTAATAATGTCTGTATAGACAAAAATCAATGTACTGTACCGAAAATTTGTCCAAACAATGCGATAACGTTAAGAGGTATTAATATAAATATTTTGAAATTGAAACGGAATTAGGTTCGTTGGATTTGATTCCTTATATCTTATAAGGATGAGAAACAATGTATATTGTTGTTATATGTAATAGTCAACCAAAATTATTATAATCATTAAAAATATTAAAATATTATAATCAAAAATTATCTAACTAAAAATATCAATAACTAAAAGTTCATTTTAACAAATTGATATTGGCATTCTTTTTATCCCTACAAAACTCGTTGCCATAACATACATATATTTTAAAATATTAGACCCCTTTCGCATTATTTGACGTGTTAAAATCTCAAATTGGTCTCTCCAATGCTTTTGAAGAAAATAGCTTGTAATTCTTTATAGAAAACATCTAGACTCAGAAAGACGAAGATTTTCAAATCCATGCTTATATGATCTTACAGTAGAATATAGTGCGAAACTATTCATTTTTTTTAACACATATGTGTTATACATACACTTATATAAGTATCGTTACATACAATAAGGAGCAAAACTGAACATATATAAAATTTTAACATAAATAATATTTTATTCAATCTTTATAAATAGCAATACAAACACAGCAAAATACGTAATAACAATGTCATGCTTTGGCTCTCTAAAAATATTTTACTGTTCATATTACCAGCATTATTGGTGGCAGATATAAAGTATTTTCGTTTGAATCGATTTTGCACCGTTTTAGAATTTTTGGAATCAATTGGAGCACGAACTTTTTCAACATTTGATATCTGTAGAATTTTGCTAATAATTAATCTCTCGAAGTTTCTGCAACAGCATACATCAAATTTTTAATATCTCGCAGTAAAGCTGTTATCCTATCATTTCTCAACTTAAATTTCTTAGAATATTGCGAAAATCAATATTGGGCATGTCAAAACGTGTTCAATGAGTTATTAAGGCAAAAGGCTTGTGAACCAAGTACTAATTCTATAAAAATAATTTATATTTACCTAAACAATGATAATACGATCGTAACATCTTTTTTTGGAAAGCGAGAGTACAAATCTACAAAATACTATATATTTTGTTTTTTTGTATTCTACGTGCAAATATTTAATAAAATATTATTTATTATATTAAAATTCCATATGTACGTTTCGCTCCTTATTGAACATAATTTGTTCCGAATTTAACATTTTACGCGTGTAGATCTTGTAAACTGCAATATAAATAATAGTTAAGAATTTCCTATTCTATCTATTGTACCTTTGTGAGATCTGTCGTTGGTTAAATCGTCGTCTCCTTCTTCCATCGTAAATTTCTCGGCACTCCAAGCCATCGAGGTAACACCAGCTGCCAATTGTACCTCGGACACCATCGCACCGTGTACATCCATTACTATTAATTGTCCGGCTGTTGTTCCGAAATATACCTGTTGATATCAACAACAATGTCGTTTGCGTTAAAAGAAGGATCTGATTTGTCTAATTTTCAATAATTTTGATTGACAAATGATTAAAATTATTGAAAAATTGAATCCTATAGCACGGCACGTCAATAACAATTGTCATAGGTTTACATTTTCCCCTATGTTTATAAATTCTTTTATCAATATCAACGATCTCTTTGATTTGGTTATTGACGATCATATTATCGTATCATATTATCGTTTCATGTATAATATTATGTTGTGTATTTTAAAGCGTATCAGGAAATATACACTTTTTTTTTGTTCATTGTATTTCGTAATGTATTTTGTTTACTTTATTTCGTAAAATAACACATTTTATTCAGAATAGTAAGTATATATATATATATAATAGAAGAAGATACAAATATTATAATATGAGTTGAAATTGAGTTTGAAACTTTTCCACGAAATAATAACCTTTACTCGAATATTAAATAATTAAGGAAATATTTGAAACTTATAGTTTTAATATCAAACATCAATTGTGTGAATAAGTACCTCAAGAACGCAATCATTGACTTCGGAAAGAATATTTATTTGGATTAGCGAGTACAACTCAAAATTAATAGTACAAGAATTAATTAGCTCTTATATTTCTGAACATATTTAAAGAATGTTTAAGCCGATAGATTTCTCCGCAAGTCTTGTCATAGATAAGTACGACTACCAAGGCTAGTCAGAGGTTAATCTAAAGTCAACTATTTTCTACTATATTTGGAAAAATTCTGTTTGAGAAAACAATGTGATTCACAAACAATATATTGTTATTCAACATCTTCTTCTTTAATGAAGTTGAAAATGATAGTCATAAACGATAATTAAATAAAGCTACTAAAAAGAAAATCTTAAAGGAATATCGTAATAAAGAATTCAATAATTTGCTCACATCTCTGATACCTGATGAAGATACAAAGTATTCGCTTTGAAAAGTGACGAAAAAATTCGAAAGATGAATCATATCAATATCTGCGATAAAAAAAAATCAAACGGTACTTGGATTAATATATCTGAACAAATCATGACATTTGCAAAACGCTTACAAATATTTCACAATTTACATGAAGATACAGCAACGGATTATTCGATCGAAAACATGGATTACAATTATAAGATACATAAAAAAAAAAACTGAATAATTTATTAAAAAAATCAAAATGAATAAAATTTCGACTTAATAATCGGGAAAATAATTTACTGCAAAAAAAAAACAATAAAAATAATTATAACAATTTTCAGTGCCATACTAAGACCGCAATACTTTCATTTTCAAGTACATAGAAACTAGATCAAATTATTATGATACATAAAAAATAACTACTGAACAAAAAAATACACGAATCTTCCTCATATAGACTAATATTATCCAAAATCTTAGAAAAAATAATTCTTAATAATAGACCAAAGGAGATAATTGAAAGCGAAAAACTAATTCCAGATTACCAGAATTCGACTATCTGCCAAACTTAACTGCCTTTAGAAATAAAAGATACTGCACAGCTTTATTTTTAACACCGAAAAAGCGTTTAATAAAGGACTGATTTATTAAAAGTCATACAGAAAAATCTTTTAGACGACCTATATAAAAACTCCTTCACTATATAAAATTCTACCAATAGAACATTTTACATCAAAATAAAGAATTAAAACTTTAATATAAAACTTATCAACGTTGGAGCACCTCAAGGCCCCTTATTTACAGCAGACATCTCAACAACGCTGAATACTTTTATATGTACTTTTGTAAACAACAGCGCATAAAAATCTAAACGAAGCAATTAATGTTCTGCAAATACATATAAATCTAATAGAGAAATGATTAAAATAAAAAAAAAGGAAGTTAACTTCGATAAATGCAAACACATTCACTTTTACCTCTGTGAAGGCGAAGTTCCATAAAAATAAAATTCCTCAAAGAAAATCAGTCAAGTATTTGGGACTCCAATTAGATTTGAAGTTAACTTGGAAACAAATTTATTCACAAGAAAATCGAGCAAATCAGAGTCAAATGAGTCATGTATCAATTAACAAGTTGTCGACTGAAACTAAGTACTGAAAACAAACTCTTGATAAACTATTATCAAACCCGTAATGAACCTTAGGTATAGAGTTGTGGAGAACGGCGGTAAAAAGCCATATTCCAAAGATGGAAGCAATCGATAATTCGTCGCACAATAGTCGACGCACATTACAAATGAGGATTTACGCAAGAATTTGTAAATTTCAGAGATGCAACAACGACTGTCTCAGAGCTACAAAATAAGAACAATAAATGACCCAAATCCATTAGCTGGCGCTTCATATAAAAAAGACACGAACAAAAAATTCACAAAACATCCACAAGATTTTTCATTAAATTCATATATATAAACATACAGATATATACATATACTTTTTAAATAAACATTTAAATGTTTTCCATTCAATAAGATATCAATTTGCCAACTGATCACCGGACAGCAAGATATACCAATTGCAAGATATTTTTGAATTTATAAAAAAATACAATAAATAAAATATATGTATATATGATGTTTTTACTCTTATATGATTTATAATAGTCAAAGTGCAGTGTAGTTGGTTATGTAACTTCTTGAAAGAATAGAGAAATATGAATAGTACAGTATAAATAGCTGTAAATATAATGAAGTAAAAAAATGAAATATGAATAGTACAATATAATGGTTGTATAGAACAGTATAATTTTAGAATACTAAAGAACAATACATAATTTTTTAAAAACAGGAAAAAATATAAATAGAATATTCATTATTTATGGGATTGGACATTGTGTTTTTCTTTATCATTTCTACGTATATATTTGTATGTTCTGATGAAATTTTAATAGATTGTAAACTTATTACTGATCTTAATTTTAGCTTGGTTATACAGATCTTCAAGTCTGCATAGAAAATTTATTGATTCGTTTTATATTATTGTTTATTTACATCATCTTCACTATTTTTCAGTAAATTAAGTATGAATCATGTTTGAAATGATTTATATTTGTTATTTTATTTATTGATATGTAGTTTATATTTGAGTTTATTTATTATTATTTAATAGCATAAAAATATGCTATAGGTCTAATAATATCATCAGCGTCAGAGACACTGAAAAGCCAATTAGTAAATAAAACCATTTATTACTACCGCTTTCTGCGTTTTTGAGTTTTAAGGCTTCGTAATTTTTGTAAAAGTGTGTATTTATTTTTAATATCCTTCAGTTCTGCTGCTTACAATTTTTACGAATTGTTCGCAGTGACAGCCACTAGGATCTTTGTACTCTCTTACTTTTTAATGACAGTGTACAAACATATTATTATTTTACATAATTATTATAATTAAAAATATTTGTCACGCTTGTTCGAGCTAAGTGCGATTTGTTAAATTTGTTTAAGGAATTAAGCAATTTCTAATGTATCATAAAATATTTCGTTTATTATTATCGAAAAAAAAAGATTATTGACAAGAAATTCACTAGTTATTAAAAAAGGAAGATTATGGTCATGCTCATTTGCAAAAAAATATTTTGAGAAAAAATATTATCATATTTTTCCCATTTATCTTACTATGAAAAGTTCGACGATGTTATTAGGGTATATTTTAAAGTTGGAAGATAGTTTTGTTTAGATTTGTTATACAACAAATGAGGTCATTTTCCTTGAATGAAATAGGGTTATGATTTTGTCGTGAGCAATTTTAAATACATTGTTTAGTTCAGATTATAGTTATAGTCATTTTACATCGTCATAGGATCCTGAGAAATGGATGAAAATACGTAAGTTTATATTCTAAAAGAGATTAATAATAGTATGAAATTCGTGGATCTGTGTATCAAAATGTAGCCGAATAACGCAAGTAAAATAGATTACTCGCAGTTTATCTAATCCAACTTGTTGTAGTATTAATTTCAATGTTAATAAATCTTTCAAATCGTTCCGTTTGTTTGCAGGTAATAAAGAGTGATTATATGTTCAGTTTTGAAAAGACTGCACATATTTTTTATTAGTTCCGACATAAAATCATATCCTTGATCGGAAGTTCTAGATAATACTGCTGCATGATTCAGAATTGCTTCTACAAAGTAATATTTAAATAAATTATTTTAAGCAATTAATACTTCAGTTAGGGATAAGCTAATCTACGAGCGTTATGTTTCATGCGCATCATAAAGTAGCGTAGAATGAGAATAGTTCCAATTCCAAAAATTAGTGGTCAGTTATGAGGTCACTACTGTTTTATTTATTATTATTTATTATATATTATGTTATTATTATTAATAAATTTACCCATTATATCAATTCTAATCTCATCTATATTATCCTCACACTTAATAAAATACAGTTAACACATTTCAGTTTGTAATAGTTTTTTTCAGAGCAGAAACAAAGATAATCAGAAAATAACAGTTTCATTTGACTCCTAATAAATAAACTAAATTTTTATTCAATCCGTATAACATATTCTCAAGTATAGATTCAATTTTGTATCGTGATCATATACAATTTATAGACATTTTATAAAAAGAATGCACCAAATAGATATAAGAGACGAGTTTTAAGTGTTTAAACTAAGTCATAGTAAAACAATCTGGAATAGTCTTTATTGCTTGACTTTTTGCTAAACGATTGGTAATTTCTGAAATTGTATTACATGAAATTATATCGTAAATGTCATTATATTATAATTGAAGAAATATAAGGTTCCATTTAAAAAAAAATTTTGTCTTTGAAATCTCTCTACTAATGCAAAAAATATCTATGTCAAATAATATTCTCTTTCATACCAAGCAACTTTTATAAGAACATTATAATATAGGATTCTTTTAAGATATTCTATGGTTCTGTTAAAAATACTATATATTAGAAAATTTAAAAAGCTATTTTATTTATAAGAAAAATAAAATTCCTCATAAATAAATATAGCAGGTTTGTATTCTCAAATAACCTCATAAATCTTGTTTCGAGAATGCATATAATCGTTACGCTATGTAATAAAAGATACAATAAGTATTCATATAATAGGATCCCACTGATTCTCTCTTATACTAGTGATTTTTCGTTCATACAATAGTTCAGTGATTAGATTAAGTGAATCAAACCAGCAAGAATTCATTTAATCGAATATTAATTAAAATTTGGTTTAAATAAATACAGTTCACATAAACGGACTTTTATTGTAAATTTAATATTAATTTAATATTAAATTTAATATTAATATTAATGTAAAATCTATAAATAATTATATGTTTTAAGAATTAATTGAAATTGCAAATCTAATTAGACGAAACATTATGTTATCAATTAAATTGTAAAGAAAATATATTTTCATTAATAATTAATAATTTTCTACTATAAATCTTGTAAAAAAATTTATTTCATTTCAGTTGTCTAGTATATAAAAAATACTTGTTTAGTATATAAAAAATGATTTGTAATACAAAAAAAAATAGTTCTAGTAAGAAATGAACAGTTTTTCATTGGAAAAAGGGAGAGGATTATAGATAAAACATGAAGATTATATGAAAATAATTTCTCTATTTCTCCAAGATCACAAGATCTACCTTTTTATATGGATTAATATTTTTGATCCATTAATGAATATAGCTCAATATTCATATAAGAAAGTATTAACTTATATATGTTGAAAAATTATTAATTTAAAAGATATTTTAACTTTAATTTTATAAAATCTATGAAAAATAAGGTCAAATATTGCTTTTGTCTTACAATTAGCTCAATGTCTTTTATACAATAGATTTTATAGAATTAAGATTAAAGTATTTTCTAAATTAATAATTTTTCAACATATATAGATTAATATTTTTTTATACAGAATATCGAACTGCATCGATTAAGGATAAAAAGACTGTAAAAAAGCAGAAGTGATCTTCATATGATATCTATGTGTTTATCTCTAAAAAAAGTTATTTACACCAGGTTACGATCATTTATTTTTTATCTGAAAAATTTTCTTATACTCGTATAACAGATAGTTTACGATTTGCATTTATAAATTAAAATCGATCATTTTGTGTAAGAATGTAATGTTTTATTTACCTGTTGATCGTCTGGTGTCCAAATACCACAGGTAATGGTAGCTTTGTCATTCAACATTGATGACCAATATCTTTGACCAGCAACGCTACCAACTAATACGAAACCGTCCTGTAAGAGAAAAACTTTATTTTCTTCTTTTTCATAAATGATACATATAATATATCTACGAAATTTATTTTCTTGTGATTATGAATAATACTTTTTCGCTGTGAAATTTAAGTTTTAAAGTCTCTTTGAATTATAATGTATACTATTGTAATATGTAATGTATATAAACGAGATCATTTAGTTAACGAAAAATCTAGAAAACGATCAGTTGTGATCCTTGAGAAAACTTTACAGAAATTTTGCTCATGTTTTGTAGAACCACAACAGGTTCATGGTGTGTGTGTGTGTGTGTGTGTGTGTGTGCGTGCGTGCGTGCGTGCGTGCGTGTGTGTGTGTGTGCGCGCGCGCGCGCGCGTAGATTTTGTGTATATATATATATATATATTTTTTAATTCATAGATTAGCTGTCAAGCTTTACCGCCGATAACAGTTGTAAAAATTATGAATTTCTAACGTAATCATGCCTAATAAGAGATATGCTATAAGGGATATACCATGTATAAAAACCAAAGGTTACGTTTTATGAAACATATTGCAAAAGGATATTAATCATAAGGCGTATTACAAAAAAAGCCAAAATGCGTTGTGGTCAATTTTTTAAATTGTGGTTGTTTTTCCATAAAGCATTGTAACCGCTTTTCTCGCTCACTAAGTGTTTTCAGTTTATTCAACATATACATTAATTATTACAAGAAAAATACATCGAATTTTTTTTAAATTTTATACTGTTTTTAAATTTATAAGTATTACAATTTAAATTTATAAGTATTTACAATATTCTTCTTAAAAAAAAAGACATATTTGTAATGAATATAGCACATAACAATTTTGTTAATAAGTTTATTAGCTTTATTTTATAAAAAAATTATAAAGATTTAGAAATTGTAATAATTTATATATATATACGGTACTTCCAAATCTACTTGCTTAATTCAAACTTATGATGACATAATCCAAATTTCTACGCATCACTAATTTATAATTAAAATTTCAATGTCCTTAATTTCCTTATTAACACGTCAAAGTTATTGAATCATATGGATCATCAATTCATAGAATTTACGTCGGATTTTCTATTGTTGCGATTTAAAAGTATTGAAAGTGTAATGTAACATGCTAGTTTTACGAGTGAAAACTACGAATTAGATCGGATCAATTATCGCATAAACTTAGACCCTTTTTATTTTTAATTTTTCATGCATTTTTCTTGCTTTAACAAAAAATTCAACCGTGAACGTTTTATAAATTGAATTACCCTGTAGCATATAAGAGCCATTCGTCCATCATGTGACCACGAGAAATGTGTAACTGGAGTGCTCCTATCGTTGATCAGTTCTATACTCCACCTGCCCTCGTATTTAATCCACACAAAAATCACGCCGGAACTATCGCAGGAGGCTAACTTCTGGTATGGTTCGTTCCATTTCACTAGTATTACCTGCAGTAAGAATTTCATTAATATATAAAACAATAAAAACATTTTGTTAAAGTTATCTATTATCTAAGTATAGGCATTATCAATTTTTTCTGTGATATTTTCCATTTTCCATTTCTTACTTTTCTGTCGAGATAACAAAGTTAAAGGTTCTGCTTTTGATTATTCGATATGACTATTTTGATTATTTTTATTTTGTTCCAAGATAAAAAATTTTTGGTCTGAACCAAGTGTTGTATGCAGTTTGAAATATACAGGGGCATTTAAAACCACCTGAATATCTCGCTTGTTTTCGGAGATAGAAGAAAATGTATCAGATCAAACTTATTTGGTATTGAGGGGCTAATAATCTGATGTTACTGATTTTTTTATAGGTGGAGACGTCAAGGAGATATGAAGGTCAACTCTGGTTTTTTTTTAAATGGAACGATATGGTTTTTTAGTTACATTCTGATAGAGAATTTCCAGACGAATACAATGTCCTATAATGAAGGTTATTCAAGATCACTCAAGGTCAACTGCAAGAGAAAACATATTATCTCAAAGCACTCTTCGAACATGTTGTTTGCGTTCTCACTGCTAGAACAAGTTCAAAATGTCGTCCTTGAACATGGATACATAGTCTAAAACGTTGCATAATCTAAAAAGTGGAGATCTATTACGATCGGGAAATTTTTCATCATGCACACGTACCATTTTGCTCTTAGTTTTATGACAAAGTGGGCAGCAATCATTACCGTCGCACTGAATATTCAATTTTAGTGTTCAGTTTCCCAAAATGCGTTACACGATAACAAAGAAAGTGGAAATGATACTGATTTTTGGTGAATGTCGTAGCACTATGAGGGAAGCTGTACGTGTGCATGGTGAAAAGTTTCCCGATCGTAATAGATCTTCACTTTTTAAACTATGCAACGTTTTAGACTATGTATCCATGTTCAAGGATGACATTTTGAACTTGTTCTAGCAGTGAGAACGTAAACATGTTCGAAGAGTGCTTTGAGATAATATGTTTTCTCTTGCAGTTGACCTTGAGTGATCTTGAATGACCTTCATTATTGTATTCGTCTTGAAATTCTCTATCAGAATGTAAGTAAAAAACCATATCGTTCTGTTTAAAAAAACCAGAGTTGACCTTTATATCTCCTTGACGTCTTCACCTATAAAAAAAAATCAGTAACATCAGATTATTAGCCCCTCAATACCAAATAAGTTTAATCTGATACATTTTCTTCTATCTCCGAAAATAAGCGAGATATTCAGGTGGCCTGTTTTAAATGCCTCCCCTCCCCTCCCCTCCCCCCGTAGTCTCACTCATACTCAGTTATTATATATAGGGTGTTAATTTGAAATTCTATATCTAAATTATTTTCGCTGTTATTAATGTTAAGAAAAAGTAACTACAGGATTTAAATGTTTTCAAAGCGTACATCTGATGTTATTAAAAAAATTCTGTGCAGGTTATTTTGAAAAGTTTTTTTAAAGTTGTCGTACTTTTTTGGCACATTAACATCCATTTTTATAATGCTATGTTGTAGTCTACGTCAAGACGAATTCAAAATTAACATTTTGGTTAAACTATTGACAAATTAATCTCAGGGAATAATACAACATTCGTATCGAATAACATCATCTATTACAAGCAAAACAAATGAGCAGGGATATTATATTATAAACTTTAATAGTAACATTTACATATTGAATTTTTTCTTTCACGTTATAAATATCTTATAAAGACTGTGGATTTTTATGCATTTATTGGAAATTATTTAAAGATGCAAAAATGCACATAATATGTAAAAATATACAGAGTAATTCTCGTAATTGAATTGGGTTATATCTCAAGGATGATAGGAGATGTAATCAAGTTGTGTAGAAGAAAGTTGATTGGAATGAAACGATCTAATTTTCTGCAGGCTTACTTTTTTTTTTAATATTGTAACGAGGTACGAGAAAATGTAGATGCGTCCTTTAATTTAGGAGACATTTTAATTTTAATTTTATAAAATCTAAATGTTATAAAATCTACGCATGAAAGACAGTGACACTTCATAATATGAATACAAATATGAATACTGCCCTTGTCCTTCTTCCTTTCATTACCGCGATAGATTTTTATAAAACTGAAGTTAAAATATCTTCTAAATTAATTATTTTTCGACATATATAAATAAATTTTTTTTTTAGAGAAAATGTCGAGCTTTATCGATTAATGTATAAAAAAATATACGATTCTATTTTTAAAAAGTTACATCTGTATTTTCTGGATCTACATCGTTACATTTATAAAACCTGTTAAGTAAACCTGTAGAAGAAAATCAATCAATTTTCCTCTGTACAGTTTTTTTGCACTTTTTACCATTCTTTTACCTTCTTGAGATATAACCCATCCCCCAACTGCGAGAATAACTTTGTATAAAGTAAAGTATAGTATTCGTTGTAAGATTTCAAGTGAAAGTTGTTTCTGTTTAGAATTGTAGTTCTTTAATAATATACATAATCCGTATAAATATCTATTTACAAATAATGAACAAATAAGCAACTTCTTTTTTTCCAGGGGTCAAATGAACTTGTTAAAATTTTAAATTAATTATGAAATAACTGTAATTTACGATTATTATTTTTCCGTTCAGAAAAAAATTATTATAAAATGCAATGTACTAACTAAAATCTTTATTTTTGTATAAATAAACTTTTATTTTCTTGAAAATAGAAAAAAGTTTTATTTAAGCAGCAATATTTATTCTGCTTTGAAAAAGTTCTAGATTTGATAAATCTGAAAAAAACTTAAAAAATTTCTTATTAAAGTTCACAAATCAAAATAACCTTGAATTATTCGGTGAAAATGAATCCGGAAATAGTTAACTTAAATCCAAATGTATTAAAACACTGGATTAAAATACTGGATTAATAAAGATTTAAAAGATCGTTTCTAAGTCAACTACCAGCAGTTCACAGCTTCGCAACTTTTAGTATGGAACAGGTATTTGGTGCTTTAAAATTTATACTTAATAATCGAGCATTTAAGAATACTTTGGAGAACATATTTGTTCTGGCGCAGAACAGATATGTCTTCCGAGGCGGTCAGCCAGATCAATTCCTACCTCGAGAATTTCCAGATTCAATTGTCCTGTCATACTCTCATCTAAGGACTTGGAGGGAGAGATAGGATGTGGAAAGTCTCGGTAGGGCAGAAACAAAGCCTAGGAAAAGGGATACTTGGCTGTGGCCATAAAATCGTAGATTCAGTCAATCACAAGCAGTCAGTCAGAATCCGTCACTCCGCATCAGTCACGAGGAGAGCTAGCGTACCCTCTCCCGACTCATAACACACAACACACTCATTACAATCAACATTTGTATAACAGTAAAATATAAGTATTTATTCTACATCTTGACTTCATTCTTAAAACCATCTCTCCGGCGGCTGTAAAAGGCACGGCGAGAGAACGACTAGCGAAGCGGGTAGCAACCAGCATTCACCGTCGCACTGCGCCGTAACAATAATTATTTCTAAAACTAGATTCTGAACTCTAAGTGATATGAGTGGATATGAAACTTCTTGTTCTTTTCAGATTACCATTGTTAATAAAATAAAATTACATAAAGATCATAATGTGCTTTCTCTTTCATATTTATGTAAAATAGCGCTTTCATTTCCCCAAGTAATGCTAATAAAAAAAATTTTCTTAATTTTTATAGTTTAGTCTGCTCAAATTAAGATCGCCCAGAACTTTTATTAATCGAATATTATATAGAATAAGAGTTGAAACTAAACTTTTACAGCAGAGTTAAAATATTAATGTACAAAGTTAACTTAAAACAGAAAAGAATGATTATAAGCTAATAAGTTTGATAAATAATTTTTATTTATAAGTTAACAGTTTCACTCGACTATTGCTTTTTTTATATTTGTGCAAAAGTGTATTGTACTCGTAACGTTAAAGTAAAGACAAAAAAAGGCGGTTTTGAGTATCAATATGTTGCTAAAGAATTTCAATTCACATTAAACTTACTTCTCACATTTTGTTTCTCTATTTTGATTTGTAAACTTCAATAAGAAATTTATTATTTAATAAGATCTATTATCCCACTGTTAAAAATAAAATATTATATCATATTCATTTAATAAATAAATATTATATTTATTTTTTATTCATTTAAATGCCATGTATCTGATTTAGTTTTGTTGTACATTACAATTGATTTAATTACATAATTTGTTCAAAGAAAACAAAAAGGCGAGGCATAAATCACAAAGTAAAAAATGTAATGCATAAAATAATAAGTATTGAAAATAAAGATTTAAAAGCTAACATCTAAATTACTTTCTGATTTAATTGAGAAAACCTCGATTCAAAAGAATTTTACAACGGTTGTAATCTAAATATTTAAAATCATTTAAAAATGTACGACGTAATCTTATTATAAAGATACTCGTGAACATAAATAGGTGTTTAAAAATGTCCAAGTGTTAGAGAGATTATATTAGGACAAATAACGGCATATTTAAACTAATGATACTCATGTATGTTCTGTAGGCGTTATCCATCAGAAAGCGAAGTACGGAATCCAAGTTTGTGCTCGGATTATATTTAGCAACGTATCATTGCACCATTATGAAAGTGTATTTTATAGATTAATTGATAGACAAATGCCATCTACAAGTTGCATGATCGCAAACAATTTCGTTTTCGCGTTTTAATAAATGAATCTTGATGATACGTAATCATAAATTATATATTATTGTTATAATAATATTGTTGTCAAAATCATAAAACAGTATCCAACGCTATTGAGAGTGAAATTAATTGACTTTATGATATTAAAACGAAAATCTGTACATGTATATATATATTAGAAATTTTGGTTTCAGAATATAAAAACTATTGGTCGGCTGAATTATTCAGGTATACATTGATTTTCAAGATTTTGGAATAAAAGTTGAAATAAAAACTGTTTCTTGCATTTCTTTTATCAAATTATACTGTTACTTTCATGAT